GTGTTTTAGGGGAGCTGTGGATCATGAAAAGTTGCTCTTATAAACAAATGTACTTTAACAACACAGCTCCTAAAGAACTTAAAATGTGCCCCTCAAAACTGGGTGTGGAATGTAGAAAAGAATCCTACTTTAAAACACAGGGTTGCCTTTAACTAATAAAAGAAATCTAAAATTGTCCATTGTCATAGCTTTAACATTGACATTGGTTGCTTTGGCAAGCTTTAAATACTAGGCTGCACTATAAAACCTAAAAATGTCCTGGACTTGAAGTTGTTTACACAAAATATGAGCAGATATAAAGTTACAGAGGTGGGGGTGGAAGAAATGGCTTTAAAACCATCCTCCATGTACTGACGTCACATGGAACCCAGCTGCCGGGAGGATGCCAAATAGAACTGTTTTTCAGTTTGCAAAACTGAAGTTGTGAAGTTAATCAAAGAGAGTTGCAGTGCTGCTCCGATTGAAAAGTTCTCTCTTTCCTGGCTTCTTGTTTTCTTAAAGGATCAGGATTCACAGAACTGGAACTCCTTATCCCATCTAGCTATGCATTTCACTGCTTTCACTACTACACTGAGAAATGGACTGAAAAACTTCTGAAGGATTGCTTACTCCACAAAAGGTAAGGACGTTTGGAAATCTCAGTGATTTTGGAAGAATTATGGCCTTATTTATGAAATAGAAAAGAAAGTTAACAATACTCAGTATTAAGGCAGTAAACAGTTTGACCAAGGTTTCTTGTAAACATCTGCCTCATTTTTATATTTGCACCTAGAGCAATAATAGTTTAAAAGTGTGATGGTGGTTGTTTATTTCTTAAAGAAAGGCTGTTCCATGGTTCAGCCAGTGTTTCCAAACCATGGAATGATTTATTAACAAGAAAGAGATGACAGCCCATTTTTGCCAACCTTTTGTTTTTAAATAATAGAATGACACTCTGAGAGTTTCTTATAGGTTTAATACAAAGTGCATAAAAACTATGATGCCGACCATTTCTTTACAAATATATAAATAGACCTATCATTTATTATCCATCCAGAAACCATCACCTTATCTTACTGTGAATTAACCACTCATAAAAAAGAAGAAGATCTGTTTATCTGAATAGCTGTGTATGTCCGCTATCGTTAATCTGTGGTGAAAAATAACACCTCTTCTGATGTCGCAGCACATTATTTTTAGAAGTTGTCATACCACATCAGAAATTCAGTTCAAATTATTTTGCATTTTTATATGAACATAGAGGGGAGGTGGAGGGAAGAAAGAGTAACATTAGAGACCAGGAGTTGCCTAAACTCTTTATTTGAGAGGAGGAAAGGGTACAGTGAAAAGATAAATACAGCTGATGTTGACAAAATTGATTATTTGCATAAAGTTGATTGCTGTAATGAGCTTTTGACCTTGTCTAGGACATGTGGAAAGTGCCAATATAGCCAGATTTCAGACACTGTAATGTTCCACAAGGCAAATGAAAATCATGGTTGTGCTGGGGTGATAGGCTTTCACATGTGAAAGAAAAAGGTATTTTAATAAAAAGGAAGCAGGGTTTTTTTTTCATTTGTTTGTTTTGCTCAAGCCATGTGGAGTACCTGTGGGAACAGCCCAGTGTTTTATACAAATGGTGAGTTTAATAGCAGTATTAGCGATTGGGATCTTATTTCTAGCTTTCAGAGAGAAAGAAGCAAAGAAAGAGACAACTATAGGGGCAGGGGTCAAAGTCCTCTGAGGCAGTGTTTCTCAACCTTTTTTTTATTAAGTACCCCTATTAAAAAAATTTAGTAAGTACCCCTTTAAAAACTCCAGTACCTACAGTTTTCAGACACACATTTTTTTCTACCATTACAACACATTTGTTTAAACAACTTAATTGTAGCTGGGCAGGCGATGAAATTTTTGGGTATAAAAAGTACAAAAATAATAGAGCTGTAAAACCAAAAATTCAGTTTTCTCCAAATTTCAATTGTGTTGTATCTCCCAGATGTCTCTTGAGTATCTTCCTCCCCCAGACTTCTCTTGAGTACCTCTAAGGGTACTCATACCACTAGTTGAGAAACACTGCTCTAAGGAATTTACTCGGTAGATTTACTGCAGTAGCGGCCATCAGAGCAAACATCAACAATCATGAGCTTCACTATTATTATTTGCATCTTAAGAGGAAACGTGAAGGGAATAAGAAGTGATATGAAAAGGAAAAGAAACCATGAATGAGAGAGAGAAGCACTTTTGATGGAAAATTACAGTTACAAGCAACTAGTTGCAGCTAACTTTTTCTGGGACTTCATTGCATTTTGATAGTTTCCACTCTGTACCCATCTCAATATGTCTTTAGTTTGTTTTTGCACTGATCTTTGCTGCATGTATCCGAATCATTCAAGAGAAGTCAAGTGAGTGAATAGAGAGATCAGTTTGGTTAATTCCTCCGAAGTCTCTTGAATAAGTTAAAAACGTCTATTAAAAAAGTGAATTACTTCTGGTATGTCCTTCTCCTCCCCAATCTTCCTTCCCCCACAACTTTTGTAGTAAATAAATGAAAAAAAAATTGATATGACTAGATATGCTTCATAGATTGAAACAGATATTCAATATATTGAGTTCAGTTGGCTGAAAAAACTCAGAAAGTGGGTGCTGCTCATGTTGCGGATCCAGCCAAATCAATCTTTTTTGCCCAATAAAGGGGTGAGGAGAGCTTTGCATGAGGCTCAAAAGGGAATTACAAAATTAGATGTAAACTAGTCTACTATATATTTGAGAGAGTTTGTGCATCTGTTTGTCTGTCCATCTGTGCGTCTGTTTGTTCAAGAACTCCTCCTGAACCATAAGAGTTAGGACTACCAAATTTAGTCTGCAGCTTCCTCTTATCATAATTTAAAGCAAGGTCAGATTTTTGGTTGTTCCAGGACAATGGGATGTGCATGGATTGTGATTGTTTCTCATCAAATGGAACAAGGGGGCTGTGATAGCAGGAGAGTTATACTCCAGAATAACCACAGAGGGGGAGCAAGCAAGCATGCCCCCAGCAGCCTCTGAGAGCCACAGAGCAGCTGCCATCTGGGCAACATGGCCCCCATTGGCCTCAGGGGGCAACACTATCACCCTCTAGGACCCAAGCAACACCAGGTAATTCTTTTAGTAATCACTACATTAAAGGAAACATGTTCAATAAAGGGAGTAGTTCTTCGTGATCTTACAAATTACATTGACACAACCACTGATCACGAACCAATGCAATCTGCAAGTTTATTGTGAAAAGATATGAATATATATGTTCACTTGATTAACACAACTGTCTGTTCTGAAACCCAAATTTAAGGAACACACAAACTGAATACAGTACATCGTACCATGTATGACTACTGAACTGTCACTCCCTAGAATGCATTAATTGATGTGATTCTCACCTTTTGCTTGTGTAAATCAGTAGTAACTCTACTGAAGTCAGTGGAGTTACTGATGTAAAAAACTGACTAAGTGAGAATCAGGTCTATAAAATCTATCACCATTCAATAAAATTTTCCCTCTACAATTATATCATAATATAACAACATTACTTAGCACTTGTCCATCGATAAAACTCAGATTTTTACATAGGGTGGTGGGGTTCATGAGCTGTACTTTTACAGAAAGGGAAATAGAGTTGCTGAAAGTTTACATGATTTTTGCAAGGTCTCAGAATCAGAGTTGGGGATAGACTCTAGTTTGACTGTCTTCCAGGGCCATGCCAGTGGACTAATGTATTTATTTAGATTTGTAAAACAAACTACATTAAGCTTTTGTATTGTGTTCTGATGTACTTGAATATATGTAAGAGATTTGAGTCCCTCCCCATATCTGCATGTTTTCTTTTGTGTAAATAAAAGTCTACGTATAAAATTAGGACTTTTTAAATATGCCAGTGTTAAAGTCTCTGAGCAAACTTCCTATCTTTAGATTTCTAGTTGTCTTGTGAACAAATCCAAAGATAGCACACAGACCGCATTCTTGGCCATTCTGCCTAAAGGACAGATCTCATAAGGTCCTTGAACTGCCATTTACTACAAGGGGAATTGAGGGTACTCAGCATTTTGCAGAAGGCTTTCCGTATCTTGCAGGATCATGTGCTATTATAGCACTTCTGTTTTGGCTAAGGGAGAGCAAATGTGAATATTACCCGTTTGTATGACTGTTCCCTCTTTATGTACTATTTAGGAACAGCATGTATAGGGCCCTACCAGATTCACGGTCATGAAGAATGCATCACAGACTATGAATTTGGTCTTTGTGTGCTTTTACCCTGTACTATAGAGATTTCATGGGGAAGACCAGTGTTTCTCAAAGGGAGTTGCAGAGGAGTTGTAGGATTACTTGGTGGGGGGGATTGCCACTCTTATTTTTGCACTGCCTTCAGAGGTGGGGAGCCAGACAACGGTGGCTGCTAATTGAGGGCCCAGCTCTGCTGGCAACAACACAGACATACATATATCACGTCATCCTTACTTCTGTGCTGCTGCCAATGGCAACTCTGCCTTCAGACCTCAGCTCCTGGCCAGCAGTCACCAATCTCCAGCTGCCCAACTCTGAAGGCAGTGCAGCCAGCAGCAGCGCAGAAGTAATTGCAGCTGTACCGCAACGACCCTGCAATAACCTTGTGACCCTCCCTGCCACAATTCCTTTTTCAGTCAGGATCCCTATATTTACAACACCATGAAATGTGAGCTTTAAATAGCTGAAATCACGGCATTGAACATTTTAAAAATCCTATGACTGTGAAATTGACCAAAATGGATCATGAACATGGTAGGGGCCTGAATTTGTTACCAGATTTGTAACAAAGTGTAATTTGTTGTCCCTTGTTGCAGAGAGGAGGGGTTAGAACTCCTTTTCCTTCTGTGTATTCCAGTTCATTCCTACTTCCATTGATACGTATATATTTACAATTATAATTCTGATACAGGCTCAGCAAGCGAGTAAGCTTTGTTACAATTGACAATAATGTGTGTATTTGCTTTTTTCCCCCTCGAAGCTAGAATCAAGGACGAGAAAAACATTCTGCTAAAATCAATCCCAGCTTCCAGGAAAAGAAAGAGGAGCAGAAACCCCTTTGAGGTGATACTCATAGTGCAACAATGGACCTGCATAAACAACTGGAGAATACTGAGAGGAACTGGAATAAAGAAAAGATGGAGCTGCTGGAGAGATTTGACAGTGAAAGGAAGGAGTGGGAAAGTCAGTGGAAGGTCATGCAGAAGAAAATAGAAGAGGTACCTTGGATTTTGAATGTAAACAACAATAGAAAAATGAACATTCTCTCTGAAGTCTTATCTGGTGGCCCCAGGACACCTCGTACTTTTTCTCTGAGACCCATTTTCCCATCCAGTGTCTGCCACTGTTTAATGGCATGATGCAAAGTCTGAGCTGTGGGTGTATTTGAGATACTGTTCATTTTATAACCATAGATAGAAATTAAGAACTTGATGTCACTTTGAAGCATTGGTCTTAGCTCAAATTTGCTGCAGTGTTGCTGGCAGAATATACCATTGTCAGTTCTGGGCACACTGTATATCATACTTGCATTTTAAAAAGAAGCAGTTATGTCTGTGAGGAGCTTAGGTCAGTGGCTCTCAACCTTTCCAGTTTATTGCATCTCTCTCAGAAGTCTGATTTGTTTTGTGTACCCCAAGTTTCACCTCACTGAAAAACTATTTGCTTACAAAATCAGACAAAAAAAGTCTTCAAATCATGCCGTTGTTGAAAAATTGTTTACTTTCTCATTTTTAACCATATAATTATAAAATAAATCAATTGGAATATAAATAACATAACATTGTACTTACATTTCAGTATATAATATATACAGCAGTATAAACAAGTTGTTGTATGAAATTTTAGTTTATACTGACTTTGCTAGGGCTTTTTAGGTAGTCTCTTGTAAAGCTAGGCAAATATCTAGATGAGCTGATGTACCCCTGGAATACCTCTGCATACTCCCAAGAGTTCTGTTTGAGAACCACTGGCTTAGGTGAATGCACGTTTATCAACACAATTCTAATACAAGCATGAAATGTGCCTCTCTGGCTGTAAGGAAATGCACAAGCAAGTCCTCTGGGATAAATTATGCTCTACTTTATTTATTAACATCAAAGGGAATTCCATGAATCAAAGAATAAGGGGCACAGGAAATGAGAGATTTATTCCTGCAAGGATCTGCTATATGTATTGATAACATTTATTAGGAAAAAAAAGATTACAATAAACAAGGATAGACACAAAGAATATTTACACCTATTAACAATCATTTACTTGCTATTAATCCTAAATCAGTTTCTTTCAAGGACAGGGTAAGTAATTTATTTCTTCTTCTTTTACACCAAAGTTGTTATCTGAACAAAATTTTCTGCCACTTGCTAATGCACAAATTTATTCTGATATACTCATGAAAATATTCTCGCTTGCTTTCTGCAACAACTAGGAATTTAAGGAAGAAATTGTTCACATGAAAGGAAAATAATAAAATGGAGCCAAATGACTCATAGACATATGCTGCTCTTAGGCTGCAATGTAATTCCATGATGTCTGCCTTACTGTGTTTCAACTGTTAATTTCTATTGGATTTGAATATGATATTCTTCTCCATTTCCTACCTTAAATGTGATGATGTTACTGCAGTTTGTTAGCTAGTTGCCTTGTTTTGCCACAGAAGTGACTACATTTCAGTGATTAATCATGTGAGCCTGTCACCATGGCACCTCCCGCCGACAGTCCTGGGAATTAGCTCACTGGCCCAATGAATGCCTCTCTCTAGCTGGTTTCTCCCTGTGTTCTTGCTCTTCCTTTTAGTCCAGACCCATGTCACTCTTTAACCACGGCTTCCTCTTCAGGACACTGCCCTCCGGCAGTGCCCACTCCAGTCTCTCTGCAAGGGGCACCCAGTTCTTCTCCCAGGGAACATTCAGTTCCCTTATACCCACTTTGTCTGAGTGACTTGCTGTCAGTCTTCATCTAGCCCTTGCTCGGGGCAAACTGCAGTCTGTAATGGCCACTCAGCACTGGCAAGGGGGTATGGACCTGCTGCCTTTGCTTACCATAGCTGCCCCTCGCAGCCCCAGTAGTTTCAGGCCTTGCAGCCTGGAGGCTTGCTTGGCCAGAGCTTTCCTAGCCCTGCCTTCCTTCCCCAGCACTGCTCTACCTCCAGGAAGCCTTCTGCTTCCCAGGAAGCCAGGTCCCTCCTGCTCTTTAGCTAGAGCAAGAGTGAGCTTCCACCTTCTCCCTCAAGGAGCTCTTCTTTATATAGCCCCCCAGATGGACTCTCATTAGCCAGAACTGCCTCAGCTGGGGCTTCACTCTCAGCCCTGACTCAGGACTGGGTTTTTGCCCTTAAACGGCCAGTGCAGGGCAAGCACCCTGTCACAGAGCCCAAAGGGCCTATATATTCTTCTGTAATATAAATAATAAGTGATTATTATTATAAATAATAAGTGATTATTATTATAAATAATAATCGTCTGCTGTTTTGTTAGTTGGCTCTGTGGTATTGGAAATGATGGGCCTAATTCTCAATTACACTAAAGCGCTTTGACTTGGTTCCTGCATCGTAAAGGGACTTTAAAGTGAATGTAATTGTAATTTACACACACACACACACACACACACACACACACACACACACACACACACACACACACCCTTTGCCTTAATGGGAGATTTAGGCCTGATAGTTTTTGAGTGAGATGTAAGGACCACTTGTGGTCATTAAAAAGTCCACCTCTCTTTTCAGATTAAAATAGGAATGTGCAAACCTCAGTGTTGTAGCCAAATTCCCAATTCAGGGAATTGCATTCTACCTACACGTATTGCAGTTTCAAGAGGATGCGTATTTTTTGTTACTATCTGTCCTAAATTTGTTTTACAGACTTGCTTTGCACTGTTCCAAAGAAGGTGTATTTTAATTCAGAGATGGCTATTTTGCTTATCTATATCACATGGCTGTTGTGAGAATTAATTAATGTTAGAAAGGAGCTTTGGGTCCTTGCATTCAAGAGACTGTAAATGGAAGCCTTTGTACTGCAATTCCCCAAATTAGAATATGCCAGGACACCTGGTTTAACAAGGCCTGGCTTTTACAAGCAGAGGAGCTTATATGTCCACTAATGTCAGGACCTTAGTTTTATAGTACATCAAAAAGACACCAGCACATTACCATCGAATACCATTCTGGATTTGTGATTCTTTATGGATTCAGAGAGAGTTTCAGAATTTGCTGAAGCACATTGGTGTTTCCTGGCTGCTTACCACTCAATTACTGACCCAGCTCAGAGGAGTGTAACTTATGAGCTCTTCTGGAACTCCACACCATAGCTCTAAGCCATAGAGTAAAATATAACAAAGATTTAGTGAATTCTAATAAACCTTCTTCATATCTTGTGACGATAGACTGGTCCGTTGGCCATTTCACTGTAGGCCTCAGCATCTCTTAGCTAAAAATACATATAAAATCTTTCAGCCCATAAGTGATTTTACTAAAAATGCTTAGGAGCTTTGTAACAGTTAGAAACAGAACATAAACATGGTTCTGTATCCTACAAACTCATAACACCACATGGATTAAACAGAATGTTTTATTGCCTTTTCAGCTTTACCAGGAGGTAAAACTAAGGAGGGAAGGCAATATGAATATGTGGGATAATAAAGCCATCCAAAGCAAGATGCTGCAGCAGTCTGTATATTCCCCTACTTCAGAACGGAGAGATACAGCAGAACTGAACTGTCAACACAATTTGCCAAATGACAAGATGGGAGAAAAGAGTTTGCTCAGTAAAACAGAACAAGAATGTAAAGAAACGAGAACTCTGAGGAAAAACAATGTTTTATTACAGAACAAACTGGCCTTTGACAACCACGAGGAATATGAAGATCTCAGCTTGAAAATTCCTAAGAAAGATACCAGTTATGCTGGCGAACTCAATGCAGTAAGTATGACAGTAACCGTTTTTCGGCAAAAGTGGGGAGTATGATGAAATCCTTCTCTCTACTCAAAATATACATCTTCTGAGTCCCAGGATGCAACAGTTTCTCAGCCAGGGAATGTTTCCCTTTCTCTCTCAGTTTATTGCTGTTGTGTATCTAAACTTCTGTTAAATATACTAGCAGCATGCAATTGACCTTGGTCCATAACTTGGAGACAGTTCTGTGCTACTCCCTTCTGCACAGGCCTCTCCCATGTAAATCATCAGTGGATGTAAAACAATTCTGGAGACTATTGTTCATGCTAAGGTAACATTATTTATGTTTGTAAAGGCTCTTAAAGAACTGGCGAAAGTTAGTGAAGAGTTATGCAGCTATCAAGAGGAAATTCGAAAGAAGCCCAATCACAAAAGGTAAAACCATATGTGTCCCATTTATGTTAGAGCAGGAAAGGCAACATTGGGCTTATTCTAGAGCCCATTCAAGTTAAAGGGAGATTTGCAATTGAACTGGTGAGGAGCTGGCTAGGATCCAATGCTCAGTTTCTCAGTGCTCAGTGTAAGGAATCCCAATGAAAACCAAAATATGTTTCACACTCAGGTTTTAGTTGCAAAAACCGCAGTGTGCCTCCAAAATATATAAATTGTTATCTGTATTTACATAGGGCTAGATTGTGCCTGCCCCACACAGTAGCAGAGTAGACAAGAAAAGATTTGTCATCCCTCTGTGTCATATTAGTGTTACCTAGATCTCAGCAATGGATGCTGGATGGACTACAGGGGATTTGTACCTGATACTCCCTACAGGGAGCAAGGGGGCATGAGTGGCTCCCTGTCCCATCCCCCAGAGTAGAGGAGATGGTTGGGCACATCAGGGAGAAGTAAGCTGCATGCTGAAAAGAACTGTCACAAATCATTTTTCCACTACACCAGCATCCTATCCACTACAAACATAATACCCTTGGACCTCATGGGGAAATATGGCTAGGCACTGCTCTTGATACAGGGATATACATAAAATGCACAAAGGGCTAGATTGTGCCATTGGTGTTACAGACTGTCTGGCAGGTGCTCAATGAGGCCACGTGGTAGCTGAGTCCTGAGAAGATTTTTTTGGCTGATTTTGCCAGAATTTCTCCTTGGGGCTATTGTGACGACCACACTGGTAAGGTAGTGACAGCACCCATGGAGAAGATGCATTGTCTTCCCCTCTCAATGCTCAGCCAACTTGGCTGAGCACAGACCTGACCTCATCCTCTCATTTTCTAGGCAGCTAACACCCATTGTCTTCTAGGTAGATTTGCACACTGTGCCAGGCTCTTGCTGAGTACTTCAAGAAGTACTGTACAGAGGGTCTCCTTGGCGTTTCCCCCAGGGTATGCACTCATGGGCAGCCCAGAGTCTCTTTCACAGTGTATGACTGCTTTCATATCTATATCTGGGAAGGTGATGGTGTACAGTTTGTGAATGTGTGCTAGAAAATGTGGTTATTGAATGGAACCATAAATGACACGTTAGTGCTGTCTCCTTGAATATTAAGACATTTGCACAGGCTAATGACTGGATGCACAGGCTCTCCTCACTCAGTCCATACTCATGCAAACTCTCACTCAGCTTAGTAAAAACTTGAGGGCCTGTCCTCCTTCCTACAGTAAAACCTGTGAGAGGGGACCTTGGGGGCAGAGGAGGAGCAGAGGGGACATTCTTTTTGACTAGGTTTGTTTAAACTCTTCCATTACAGGGTAGAACTTTTCCCCTCAGGACCTAGTAGTGGAATGCTCCCAAAGTTTCCTCAAACAGCTTGTCTTAAAGATCTTCTTCTGGGTGTACGTGTACTGGGAGGGGGAACCTGTGCTGGGGTTAACTGCTTGTTCCCCTTAGGGGTCAGGCAGTGCCCTTGCCCTCTGACACATGTTTACAGGTTAAGCCATCCCTTCCTTTTCCCCAGATGATTTCTTAAGAGAAGCATCGCCATTGCTCACACCTAAAAATGCCTCTTCTTTTATGTATAGAATGAAGTCACTTCCTTTTCTGGAAGAATTTAGAAAAACCCAAAACACAGTTATTATGCCTGAGATGAACCGTGTCTCCAGCAATGAACCACAAACTTCTTCTGTCACTTTTGAAACAGAAGGAAAAAAGAACAGGAAGAACTTGATGAGTGCTAACAAGGGTTTGAAAGATATGCCTTGTAGCTCTCTTACTGGTGATAGAGGAAGAGACTTCATGCCCTGGCCAAAGAAAGAAGCTCCACCAGTTCCTCCACGGAGCACTTCTCGACATCTGACAAGCTCACTTTCTGCTGCTGTACATGTCTCTGACGTACCCATAAAAGATTCAGGCAGCAAAAGCAAGTGCAAGGCTCAGGAAGGTAGGAATGGAAGGAAATGTATTAATCCTTCTCTTGCAAAACAGAGTGATGCTCCAGAGGCACATGCAAATGAAGGGGCATGTGAGGCAGTGGTAACTGATTCAGTACTTATAGCTAAAAAAGAGAGAGTCTCTGAGCATAGTATAGTGACTGGTTTTTGTCACAATACCTGGTCTTGTGATGTAGGCAAGCTTGGAAAAGGTTCTGAGAATGGATCCTCCCCATTGTCTACCCAGAAAAGCTGTTCAGATGGAAATATGGCACAAACAGAGAATATGCACAGGAGACATTGCCCTAAATCTCAGAATGTTCTGCGTTATGGTAATGACACCTGTTACCCTGCAGTGCTCCCAAAGAAGACCCAAGGAAATGAAATCTTGGCAGCAAAGATTGATGAATTTAACAGAATTTTATTTCATACAGATAAATGCAACAAGTCTTTGCAAGAAAATCAGAAACGTCAAACACCAGCTGAAGATCATAAACAATATGGCTCTGTGTGTGACTGCGTGGTTAACAGAACAGAAACTGTAAATACAGCTTATGCTTCAAACCCCAGACTCTCTGCTGCAGAGGAACAGGATACATGCAATGTGAGCAAAACTGCTAGAACAACAGGGCAACAAAAACAAATAAATGGACTTCTAAACACCACTGGCTACCGACATATGCTTCAGGAGCATGATTGGAGACCAAGTAATTTATCTGGTCGCCCGCGTTCAGCTGACTCAAGGTCAAACTATGGAGTTGTTGAAAAACTTTTGAAAAACTATGAAAAATCAACAGTGACTTCTTTGTATAATTCTAAATGCTGCAAAGATAAGTGGGTACAGGCAGATACTGAGTTCACAGATGGGAGTTGTGAGACATTGAGTCATTATTTAGAAAAGCTCCAGATAGAGCAAGGAAAGCAAGAGTTTCAGAGGAATTCAGCCAGGCGTCTTGGGCAGCAAGTCAAACAAGGCAAAGAGAAACAGAAGTTACCAGAGGTAAGATTTATAAAAATCAATTGTATGCCCCACTTCAAAAACAAACCACTAAAATGGGACAGTCCAAAATGATATTTTGTATGTCAGTGTAATATTAGACGCTTTGGGTCTTACACCTGTGTGAATCAGGAGGAATTCCATGAAAGTTAATGGAGATACATCAGTGTAATAGAGGAGTGCTGTGGGACCAGATTCTATTCTCAGTTAGGCTACGTCTACACTACAGTGTTCTTTATTGTGAAATAGCTATTCCGCCTCTTTTGAGCGCACCCATTATTTCTAAGTATAATGGGCTTGCTGTTCTGACTTCCCTGTAAACCTCATTCCATGAGGAGGAAGGGACTTTTTGGAACAGTGATTTATTTAGAAATAAATGCTGTGTAGATAGCGCCAAATTTTGAAATAAGCTATTTTGAAATTAATTCAGAATTAGCTATGCAATTTGTGTAGCTCAAATTGAGTATCTTATTTCGAGCTACGGGTGCAGTGTAGATGTACCCTTACAGTGGTATAAATCTAGAGTTTAACTTCAGTGTAGTTATTTGAGATTTGCTCTGCTGTAACTAACATCAGAATCTGGCCTATTCCCACCACCCCAATGACCTTGACAAAGCCTTTCCATGGCACAACCTATGGTGGCTGAGACAGCAATTTCTGGAGTGATACCTGCTACTTGGCCTCTGAAGGTACCATGCTGCTGTTTTGGTAAGTTTCCAGTAATGGAGCATTCTCACATTCTTCAAATCCAGAGCATGCATCACTTCCAAAATTGGCCTAGAGGAAAGAAGGGGGCTGGCACAGCTGCAATGCTTTACATTTGGCCTTATTTTACTGGCGAAGTGTAGAAATACTGCCCTTTTCTCAAAGCCTAAAAAAAAGGAAACAGGTATTTTAAAAACTATGTGGTTGAAGTTACTGGTCCTACCAATGGCTATGGGGAAGTGGGGAACCTGGACAGTGGTAATGGGCTGAGGCTGAGGCTGCAACTGAAGGTGGAAGTGGGGCCAGGAACATGGCCTCGAGCTTGGAGTCAGCAGCCAAGACCCCAGTTGGGACCCCTCATAAAACCTGGGGGTGCTGCAGCACCCGTGCACCTTTGGTTCCCAAGCCCATGGTGTATAGCATAATTTTCAGCAGAAACAACTTTCTTCCACCATAGCAACAGAAAACAAGCAAACAAAAAAAGAGAAGCTTCAGGAGTTTTTTGCTCTGTGCAAATTTGATAGGAAAATGAATTTTCATCAGTGAATATTTGGAGCAAAACAATTAGCCAGAGTTTGGTATTATGTATATTGGCATAAATTAAGAGTAACTCCTCAGCCAGTGGGCTTGACTCTCTGCTGCCCTGCCCCTTGTGTCACCATTTATGCCCATGTAAAGTGGGTGTAAAATATTAACTAATCATAATGACAACATTTTAAACCCATCTGCACTCGCTTTGCAAAGGTATAAGGAACCACACATAGTCCAATGCACAGAAGAATCAGATCTATGGCAAGTACTGTGTATGTACACCACTGAAACAAAGAACAGAATTTGGACTGTAGTTTTTCATGTGTTTGTGATGCTCTGCATGCAGTTATGACACTATAGTCATAAGTCATTATTAACAATTTATGAAGTGCAAACATCTTCACTTAACAGTAATGGAAGCACAGTCCTGTATAATGAGCCTTGACTGCAACAACAGGGTACATCAAAGGATACCTGAAAGGTCCATGGAATCATGTTTCAGTGTATTGTTGTATGTTGAGTTATGTGTATGAACCAGCATAAAAGTTCATCCACAGAAATTCCAAAAATGAAAACATGCTTTCAGGATCAATACATTTACGGTTTGTATATGGGTTAAAATGTCACCTCCCTTGTATCTAGCATCCATGTCTACATATTTCATGCTACAAATGATGTAAGAATTTCTATATATAGAAATGTCTGTTCCTTTGCATTCTACACATTGCTATGTAAACACATCCTCAGATCCTTTTAATAGCCCAAGGCCACCTGTTCTGAGGTTGGCCAGTGTATACCACTTCCTTTGCCTTTGCATTCCTTGAAAGATTGTATTTTAACCTGTTGAGGCAAGTAGTTTCCTTTGCATTTTAGATACCAGTGCCAGATAAATATTCAACTGGGAAAGGCTTCTCCCGGCCAGCGCGACCAGCAAATCGACGCTTACCCTCCAGATGGGCATCCAGATCACCATCAGCACCACCTGCTGTGAGAATGACTGCAAACCGTTATTCTGTCTCCCTGAAGTCAGAGTTGGCAGTAGTCTGAACTCAAGGACGTGTTTCATGCTGTTGTGCAATATAAAAATTCTGCACCTCTTTATAATGGTGTGTTCTGTGACTGTGATAGCAACCAGTTCTACACTGTTGTATAGTGTCCAAGATTAATCCTGTCACTTACCTTACTGGACAAAGCATTTTAAATCTTAGATCGTCATTGCAGTCTTCAGTGGTTTTATTGATGAAATAAGTATACCCCCCCCCCATTTTATTTTGGTGTCTGTCTTTTTTTAATGGTTCACAAATTACTTTTGAATAACATCCTCCTTGGTTTACCAATCCATTTTGAGTTGATACAATGTATAGTTCTGTATATTCTGACTTTTCTGCAAATAGCAGAAAGTAAAGCTGTGTGCATGATCATGTGTTTGTAGGTGCATGTGTTGGAATAGGAAGTATACTGGTCTGTATTTAGAAGAGACAAACTCTGTGTTAGCATTGACACTGAAATTACAACATATATGCCTATATATACTTTATGTTTATTTTAAAATTTTGAAAATATAAAGTCCTGATTACATTTATATTTTGTACATCTTTTACATAGGTTCGCAAGTGTAGTGAATACACTTTTTTGACTATAATTGCAGCGACAAGGGCTTGCACAATATGTATCAGAAGCAGACTAGCTCAGTGGATTCCTCAGGCATGCTTGATGGCATACTTGTTTGGTTTTTGAACCCTTATGATGCTAGGGTCAATATAGCTGGGCATATTTTTTCTGAATTAAAATACTGTATGATTAGTACTATATTAGAGCCTTTTTCAGCACCAGAGATATTCCTAAAACATTCCGCTGCCTTAAAATGCTTTATACGTGCCATTTAATATAACCTATTGTAGGGAATTAACTTCAGTAGTTTCCGCTATATTGTAATATACAGTTTGTGGAGGAAAAAAAAGGATGGTAAGCATGGCAGTTCTTTCAGGTTTGTTTTCTTTAATCATTGTATTTATAGCTACATTGGGAGAATTTAACCTGTTTACTTTAAATGAAAACAGGAAAATAAGGAATGCTATGATTACCAAATGCTGTATTTTTACTCTTTGCTACTGGACTTGATAGAGTGTAAGCCAACAGCTCACTTACTGCTCCCATGAATGGTATAAGTGGCAGTCTGTTATGAAGTTCACTTGCATTCTGGCAATAGCTTCCTATAGTACATAAATATTGCCTCAAGAGGTGAAGGAGATCTGATCGTTGTGGTGCCAGAAATCCTAGACTGATGGCATTAGAAGTATGTTTGTACCCTCATCCGTCTGTGTATTATTGGCCGTTAGAATGCTGTGTGTGTAGGGTGGCTTATTCCCTTCTCATAGCTTCAGTGAAATATTGACACTATTCAGCATTTTTGTTCAACTGTCATAATGGCAGTGTTTTCCATTCCAGAAATTTTGTACTCATCATAATAAAGTTGCCAGATATATAGTGTAGTAGTGGTGATAAAAATTTTCCTTGAACAATGTGCTCAGTTTACAAGGAACAAACAGATGTTTCTTTACTATCAGAATAGTCTTATCTCTTGCACCTTTTTCTTTTTCCCCTCAAGAAACACAGCGTGTTTATGGTTATTTCAAGAAGAATCCCAGGATCCCATTAATGTGCATATTTTCCTTTATACTCTTTTCAGGATTTCAGAGAGGCTTTTGTCCTGGTGGATGATACATGTGATACTGTAGGATACTAGACATGCTTATCCTAGGAGTCATTTGTTATCCTCACTCTTATCATATGAAGAAGCAGAATAAGTATCCTGTCATTTCTTTCAAGGACCTTGTCCTTCTCCATAAAAAAAAAAAGCACCTATGGATGGTTTTGAGGTGCTGCAGACCAGGAAACAGACGCAGTAGCTCTTCAGAAATTGGGAGTATCATATGTAAAATATGCAACTTAATAGGGCACCAAATTGCCCCACATTTCATGGTGTGCTAGGCAGCTGTGTGCTGCATATGTGGCAGCTCTAGTGGCCAGTCCCATCCCCCTAGTTGTGCCCTACCATGGGCTGAGCTCAGCAAGGCCCATCCCTGGAGAGATATGGGGCCCAGGACAGTCTCCTTGTTCCACCCTCACCCCCACTCCACTCCTCCCCCTACTTTTGATCTACATTAGGTTGTGGAATAACATAGGAATAAAAACCTGCAACATTCCCTGGCATATGTAACTTTATTAACACAAAGTTATGGAGGTAAGCCATTACATAGGTAAATGACAAGTCCATTTTGTGATGATCTTGTGAGTCTCTCTAGTGCATACACCTTACATTTTAGTATCTAGAGATTGCAGTAATTTATGCACTATAAATACCCTAGGAAGCCAGCTGGATATACTGATTTTCGTAATATGCCCCTAAGGCTGTTTAAAAAGAAAGTTGTCTTTGCAGCAGTAAACATGTCCAAGCCAGTTCCCAGCACTGTGATAACCACATTTTGGCAACTGTCTTGAGTAGAATTAGAGATTACGTAACTCACACACCTACTGGGCGTGGTTCACTGTCCCATGTAGTGGCTTTTAGACCACCTACAGAGAGAAGGAGTTTCCTCTACAGCCTTAGTGAAGTGCTAGCTGGCTTTTAGCTCAAGCTGTAGAGACTCATGCACTAAATTCCAGTGGTCCCAGGTTAAGTTCTATCTGTCATCCTTACCATACAATATATGCTCTTGCTGTAGGAGGAAGGGATACTAGCTGGTTTTCCCAGTGTTAACTAAGGGCACATCTACACAGCAGGGCAAAAGTCGAATTAAGCTACTCAACATCAGCCATGTCAATTGTACAGCTGAAGTGGAAATAGCTTATTTCAGCTTTTGGTGCTATCTACACAGCAGGAGGTCAAAGGAAGAACACTCTTCCTTTGACTTCCCTTACAGGAGTCAGAGTAAGAAGTCCTCCTGCTCGCCATTGTTTTGAAATAATGGTTTGTGGTGTAGACACACTCTTTATTTCAGAATAACCTCAGATTTTCTGAAATAATGCTGCTGTGTAGACATGCCCTCAGATTGAGAAGAGCAGCCAAGTTGGAGTTTCTGAGAGAAGAGAGTCTCGAGAACAAAGAATTCATGTATCTTCAAACTGGAACATAACTTTTTTTCTCTCCCCCCAATCTGACCTATTTTGTGAGCCTATTGTGAAAATGACAGGTTGAATGTTATGCTTTCCTGTGTTGATGGAAGTCTCTGTATAGAGGCACACTCTTTTTATTCATTCTCTGAACCACTGTTAGATTCTCCATATGGCTTAGATTCACAACAGGAATATATTTTACTTTGGCTTCACCATAAATCCAGTAGAGAGTCTTGAAAAACTCTAACTGGCAACAGGGTAAGAGTACCTTAAATAGAAACTCCTCAGGCACAGTGGAGCTAGCTGCCAACCCATACACTTACCAGGTACTGAAAGTACGTGAATGTCACTATGAATCAGTTGCTTCCCTTCTTTGATGCTCAAAGGGAGTATGTCTTGACTCTATTACAAAAGGGCATGGAGTCAGAATTTTTCCTTAGTTTAATTTTACTAGAGAAAACACACACAGAAACAGATCTTTAGGCCTTGTCTACACATAAAAGTTGTATGAACTTAATAAGTTGTATGAATTTAATAGCCACTCAAGCTCATCTGAAGAAGTGGGTTTTGCCCACGAAAGCTCATGATATATATAGAGACTATACTATACTAGACTATATAGTAAGTCTCTAAGGTGCCACAGGACCACTCGTTTTTAATAAAATCAGTTTGTAAACCAGTTTGGTTAAATCAGTGTAATCCCATATATAAACCAAGCTTGCAAAAATGAGAGACACACACCACCCCAACCAACTTAGCTTAGTTAGAATGATTGTTTGACCTGATACAGAGGCCTTGGGCAGGGGAAAAAGAATTAAAAAAAAGGTAAATCTCCAAAGAAATGCTCATAAATACTGTCGCCTATAGCTTATCATTCACTGTCTAGTTCTATGTAATGTTTTATCTTTGCTGTATTAGTTATAGTCTTCTGATAAAGAATACATTTTAAATGACGCTAAAGAAATGAAGACAATACTTTTCTTGTTCTCTGTGAGCCATAGAATTAGTATGTTGATCTTTACTCATCCAGTAAGGGATGAATTGACCATTATAAAAATATATTGTCAACCTGTGCAAGATAATTTTTCAGTGTTCTTCTGAACACCAGTTACTTTCTACTGCCCTTTGATTCTGTTCAGTATATGCACCATTGTCTATTTAAGAATATGTTTCTGCTGAAACTGTAAATAGGGATCTTGTATCCAAATGGCTTCAATGTTATTTTTATAAAGTTCCATAGCATCCCAGCAGGCTGGTCAGCAATATCTCAATTTTAATTTATGGACCAAGTATAAATTCCCTAGCATGCAAAAAGTGTGCAGTTTTTGCAGTGTTGCTATGAAACGAATTTCTTTGGCATTGGGGTCTACAATATACAATTCTATCTAGTATACTATCATTATTCTTTCTTGAAGTAATCTGTAATATTCCCGTCGATTGTGTACTTGCTCTTTAAAATGAAAGGTAGAAGACATTTACTTTTCTCTGCTAAATCTGAAAAGTAAAAATTCTTTTTGCATCTGCCCTTTGCACCACTTCTTGATTCCCAGTAAAGGTATGGTTTCTTTGTGGTTCCTTGCCAATGATTCATATGTATATGACATGCTGTAGGATTTTCTGTTTGTACTGCACTCAAACTTTTTCCCCCAACACATCTTGTTCTTAAACTTGTTGATATTACCGTTGCCATCCATAAATATATTAGATCTTAATTTATTGTTTTGGCTCATTTGAAATGCATTTTCTTAATCATCTGCTAATATCATAACCTATATAAAACTTGCTTTTTTTTCTTTTCTATTAATAAAGCATTCACATTAGCAGGAACATGTTCCTAATGTGCATTGTTCCATCCGCAGCTATGTGGATATGGGATTTCATACTTAGAGTGCCTTGCTATGATGTTACTCTGAAAAGTATTTTACTAGAACTAGGTATGTGAATGTTTAACCAGTTAACCCAGTGGCAGACAGAGGGGGCCGCTCCAGCCAGGCTTATATGCCCTCCGCCTCCTGCCTGCCCCTTTAATCAGTTAACCAGTTAAATACATTGTTTTAAATCCTTAACTAGAACTTCCTGAGAGGTACAAACGGAACCCACAATATGAACAAAGTTAAGCAACAGAAGAATCAAATACCAACACGCTACACTTGTAGTAAATTTGTAAGTTCTTGTTTCTAAGGAACCATTCCATTGTATTGCCTGTGGTGTGTCTTCTGAAATTTCCAGTAATTATTTTTTCACCTGTTCGTTTGTAGATACTAAATTCCATCTGCCAGCAGATGTGATATAGCACTCATGATTTGGACATTTATGAAATCTATAACACAGTCTCAGGTCAAAGGTGTGTAGGTACCTAATTCCTAATAGGGATATGACAGCAAAAAGCAAACATGTATTTGGGTTGATATTGCTACTTCAAGCCCAATGGGTGCAGCACCACCACCAGCATCCCTAGTTCCAGCCCTATGCCCAGAAGTGCTATATGTCCCCACCATCTCTAACTTGTGTCTAACCCCTTCTTGGTGCAGTCTGACCCCATGTAAGAATTAGAGTGATAAGAGTCAATTATGTAATTGAAATGATAGCAACATTACACAGGCCTGGATGAATGGTCTGTAAAAGGAGTTCAGCCAGTGTGTGTGTGTGTGTGTGTGTGTGTCCTGCACTTCCAGTAAGATACCAGCAGACTAAATGGTTTGCTGAAGTAACAGAACAAGATCTGGGGGAAATCACCACATTCCAATGGTAGCATCTGTCAGAGTGACAGACATTTTTTAACTGATTTTTTATAAGTATATTGTGGGTACATTGCAGCTTGTACTGATACTAAATTCTCTGCTATTTGTTAGGGAAAAGGAGAGTAAAAAGACAAGGATGTAACTGTAACATGCTCGCTTTAGTGCATGTTATTAGCAGTATGAGTAATTCTGAACTTCTGCAGCTTTCCTTGCACCAGTCATCCTGCCATCTCTTCAGTTCAGGCTGGGCCTTGCTCTGTAGGTACTTAACCCTGTCTTTCTTTGAGATGGAAATGAGATCATTCTATGTCTCACTTAGCAGTTTGGAAATGCCCCCTTGTTCTCATTGAACCAAACCTGAAGTACCCTTGTCTTTGGCCCCAGCACCAATTTAGCTGTGTCAGTAATCGGGTCTTTGAACTGGTTTCATTTTTCTGTTGGGTTGCCAAGATTGGTGGGCATGAAAAAAGCTTGACATCATCAAGTGGCTACTGAAACTGCACCTGAAAGTCAATGTGTTTGAGTTTTCCTGTGTTGAACGCTCTTCTGTTGATCTTGGGGCGCTTGTGCTGTGAAGGGACTATATGCAGATTGAGTGCTGAGATTACCAATCTGTGGTCTGCCCATCTTTCTGCGCCACACCTGGCTCTGGTAATTCTGACATTGTGGATCAGGTGCCATTGTTTGGACCATTGGTGCATGCATTTGGTTTTATGTTCATAGTTTTGTCTAGAGCGTGATGAGCAAACTGTTCTGCACATTTACCCAAAGGAGGAGTTTATTCATCTTTCCCACTCTGTGTCATCCTATCACACCTCTCCAGTCACTGCTGTCTCTGCGAACTCTAGCATTGAAGCCTTCCAGCAGGATGAGCTTATCCTAGGCAGGGGTTGATATGAGGATGGAATCCAGGTCAGTGTAGACTTGTTCCTTGTGTTTCTCTGTGCTGATCAGTATGGGTGCATAGGCACTGATGACAGTGATAAGCCATAAAGGATTCAGGAGGAATTGAAGTTTCATGACCTTTTCATTCAGGCCAACAGGGAGATCAGGAAGTTGTTTCAGGAAAGATATTCTAATTGCAAATCCAACTCCATGGATCCTGACTTCATCCTCTGTTTTGCCTTTCCAAAAGAAAGTTTAGTTGCCTCCTAGATCACTGGTGGAACCTTCTTTGGCCTGTCTCGCCTCACTCAATGCTGCAATATCAATATTTTTGTGGGATGGGAGAACGCCTTCTCCCAAAACAGACTTGTATGGGGAGCTGAGCCCAGGCAAAAGAAAGAAGGTTTGTCCATTTAAGCACCTCAAAGACATCCTCAGGGGCAGTGCTCAGTGGGCTTGTATTAGTCTCAGAGATCTTGATGAAATGTAACAGATGTGAGCAAGGTCAATGAAATAATCACCAGGTTGCATGTGAAAGTTGCCACAGAGCTGCATTGTTTAATTTCATAGGGCACCTCTAGACTACATGGCTCCGTCGACAGAGCCATGTACATTAGGGTTGTAGGCAAAGGGAAATGAAGCGGCGATTTAAATAATCGCCGCTTCATTTAAATTAAAATGGCTGCTGCGCTGTACCAATCAGCTGTTTGGCGGCACAGCGCTGTAGTCTGGATGCTCCGCGGTTGACATCAAAGTCATTTGTTGACCTCTCCATTATGCCTCGTGGGATGAGGTTTACCGGGACGGTCAACAAATGCCTTTGATGTCGACCACGGCACGTCCAGTCTAGAGCGCTGAGCCACCAAACACTGATCAGCACAGCGCGGCAGCTATTTTAATTTAAATGAAGTGGCGATTATTTAAATCGCCGCTTCATTTCCCTTTACCGAGTAAACAAATCTACATAGCTCCGTCGACAGAGCCATGTAGTCAAGACGTGCCCATAGATATGGACTTCCCATGACCTTAGTGCGGCCAATTTAATCGTATCAGGGCTTGGACTTCACAGTCACGCATAGCCAGTGATGAGAATTGCACCAATGTCGTCAGCAGCAGCAGCAATGGCACTGATTGCTATTTTCTTTTTTAGCTCAAGTGGTAGAAATGGTGTGTTTGGTGCTGAAGTCCCATACTTAAATCCCTGCTTAAGACTGTGTAGGAGGTGCGCACGTGTGCATACACAAGCATGACTCATTACAAAACAGAACCCCGGGTGGGATATGAACTCCCATGCACTTCATAACAACGGCCTCATGGTTCAAAAAAAGTTACATTGGTCCTATGAATGGTTAAAAACCAGATACTCTTTTCCAAGAGATGCCATTCAGTGTTAGCACATCTCATTTGGCCTAATCTGTCCTGTTTGCATAGGAGACATACTCTAGTAAGTCCTGGAGATGTAATGCTGGAGGCAGCCTATTGATGGTGCATGATATATGAGAAAAAATAGTTTGGTAAGCCAATGTGCTGCTGCCTCCTGCCAAGCATACACACGTGTGCATGCGCGTACACTGATTTTTTTCCACCCTTCCCCCTACCATTTCCACATTTAGTCAGTTGTGTGGGAACTGTAATTTAAGTCAGAATGTTTTGACCCACAGTGGAGCCCGAGTAGCTTGAATTACCACTCAGCCATCTGAGTGAAAGAGTCTAAATGCCAGGAAAATACAATGGAACCTGAAGGGCAAAGGCAATTATGGCTGTTTCACAACAGAAGGTAAATTGCTGTCTTTCCTGAACATACTGACCTCTTGCCTCATTGGTTTCATAACGTGGATGTGAACAGAAGAAGCTGTGTTCCTATTGATCAAGCAGCTTGACTGTTAACAAGAAGAGAAGGAGGGCAAATCTATTGTTTTTAAACAGGTTGTTATTTGACCAGCTTTAAAATGATTCCATGATATGAATGTGCTAAAAACTGTAAGTCAGGATCCTGCACTGAGCTACTCTGTGGATGGACACCTGTGCTGAGCTCTGCACAGACTCCATTCAGGGAGATGGGACTGCTCATGCAACTCTCATTGCTGGATTGAGGCCTTACTTTCCCACCCACCACACCTGCTGAGCTATGTTGTCACGAACCACAGACGGTGGCTGGCAAATGTATTCCAGAAGCATTTTCCTAAACTATACATTGTACTCAAAGCTGGCCTCACCCTTTGTCATAAATATATGTCCACTTAATGATATTTGCTTACACCGACAATCAAAAACAATTGAATCCTAAAATAAAACTGACACAAACGCTTAATAGGAAGCTATAGTTGGTTTTCCAAAAAAAAAGAAGAAGAAGAAAAAAGTGAACGTAGGGCCTGATCTAAAGGCCATTGAAGTCAGGGCCGGATTAAGGGGAGGGGGGAAGCTAGCCGGGAAGCTGCCCGGGGTGCCAACCTATGGGGGGGCGCCTGATGCCAGCTGTAAGGTGCGCAGCACGCCAGGGGGTGGGGCCGCTCATATGCCGTGCGCCTGGGGCGGTGCCGCACATGTGTCGCGCGCCCACTGCCCAGGGTGCAGGAATGACTCAAGCCGGCCCTGACTGAAGTCAAGGGTTTCATTTAATTAACTTCAGTGGGCTTTGGATCAGATCCTTAGAGCTGGTGAAAGGAAACACACTGACCTCTTTGGGAATGTCTACACTGGGGAATTATTTTGAAGTAACTCCCCTTATTTCAAAATAACCAGGTGAGCATCCATACTACCACGCCTGTTATTTCAAAATAATAGCTCCTGCTTGTGAAGAGGAATAAGCTTATTTCAAAATAGTTATTTTGGGAGTTATTATTTTGAAATAGATAACCTGGTGGTGTGGACATAGCCTTTGGGGGCTACACCACTCTATCCACAGTACATGTTTGTACCACAGGGGTGCTAGCAACTTTACTTGCCTTGCCTCACTCTGCTTTACACACACATTCCTCAGTATATCACCATTAAGAACACCATGAGACTTCGTGGCTTTTCTTCACAGGGTTTCAGGAAAATATTTCTTTGATGCCATTTTGAGTGTGTTTGAGCCTTTTTCCCACCATGAGTTTGATTGTGAAGAGAGGTGGATCACAATGCAAGATTTGGAACCAGATCTAAACTTTTCCAAATTGAGGGCACTTGGTTGAAGAGTGTTGG